GCCACAGGAACGCCACAGCCTGCTCACTGTGTGCCCACAGTTTCTGCCTCTTGGTTCTGATTTTTTTTTCTTTCTGAATGGTTTATGGTGGGCCCTGCTCTGTGGTGTGTTTGCACTGTTGACAAGTGACTATCTGTTATTATATTTGAATATGGGCATAATTTCAACAGGCAGAAGTAGCTTGGCAACCTTTCAGCTTCTTCTTCACCTTTGGTGGGTCTGTGAGTAGCAAGGAAACAACCACTCCCTTTCATTTCCCAGTCGTCTTTGACCTGGCCATTTAGATAGTCATTTATTTAGAAACATTTTGATGGTAGTTTCAATCTGTACATAACCAGCACGGCTGTGAACAATTAGACAGCCTTTTAATAATTTCCTGCAAACGCAGACTTGTTCAGCTGTGCTGCTCTGTGCAACTTTGCAGAAGTCTCAACCGGCACTATGGAAGCAGAAGATGTGTCCTGGAAGTGAGAATATGTATTTGTTTGTTTGGCGTCCAGGCTGGAGCAGGATGCACTGTTGTTTTGTTACCACTGATTGCATTTGCTGCCACTGATTGCATCTGTGCACAAATTCAGGTTCCAAAGCCCTGAAAGAGGTTTTCCTGATGCCACACAGAGAATGCTCTGCCTGTGTGTCCACTCAAACATTGCCCCACGGCATAAAAGCATGCAATAAGTATAGGAGATTATAGTGCAATATGCACTGCTGTATGGAAGCAACATAGCAATTCGGACTAAAACAGAGAACAGCACAGAGATCCCTTAGAAACTAAAATGGTTCTTCTGCAGAAGGGGTAATGCTGTTTCCATCGAAGTGGGTATCCTGTAATTATTAGCCATAAACAGAGATTCTATTCATCCTGAAGGTTAGCCTTGTTCTTCAGAAACAATCTCTAGCCCCTTTGCCATGCATAATGCTGGGATCTATGTCCACATCTCACTTTCAAACCTGCTGCTGTCTTCTCAGGCTAGGGCAGGCTCTCTCTGGGCTTTTCTGTATGAGGCAGTCATTGTACATCCATTATTCCCTGCACACAATTGCTTGTGGGTTTTTAGACAACACTGTATCCTTCCCGTTTTGATCCTGTTTTTAAAGAGCATTGTGAGGGTTTTGGGTTGGGTGTTTTGCGCATGGCAGGGCAAGTACAGTATTATTGAAAGAAGTGAAACAGAATGTTATTTCTTCTTATGTATTTCTGGGTGCTCTTTCTTTTGCTATAGCACTGTACCACCTAGAGGTTATGTAGCAGAAAACTAGGAAAGGAAATGCTCTTTGTGTGTTGCTTGGCTCATAATTCTGTGATGAAGCCAAAAGTAGATCCAGCAGATAAACAGCCTTGCATAGCAAAGTTCTCTGAGAGTACGCGTGATGCTAATGTATTACTTACAGCTCTGTTTCCCTGTCTCTCTGTACACTAAATAATCAAGGGGGCGGGGTGGATTCATCAGGACAAGCAGTGAATAGGGAGGAGAGGCAACCTGATCCAACGGGGTGAAGCAGTTTTAATGAGGTGAGCAATTCCTTACTGCCACAGCTAATGCAGCACCCTGTCCTAGTAACTTGGAAAAGTAGTTTAGTGGCAGCAGTGTGCCATAAGAGAACTCCTTGACTGCTTGCTTTTCTGAAGGGCACATGCTAATGTAATGGGTGCCAGTAGGGAGTTGTGCAGGGGAGGTTTTAGCTGTCTCCCTTCCCTCAGCACCCCCTCTGGAGGGTGGCGATGGTCCTGAGTAGAGAGAGCTGGCCCTCTGTTGCAAGTAGGGATATGGGAGAAATCAGGAACAGACTCAAATGAGCTTGAATTTGAAGAATCTGACCCACCGATTCTCCAGTGGACCATCTTTTCCTGAGTCACTGTGGACTTGCAAACTCTTTTAATATTAAAAGAGTTATTAAACTCTTTTAATAACTTTCTGTGACTTTCTGAAATTTAATTGTAGGAAAACACAGAAAATAAAAAAGCACTGACTAAAAATGCTTCTTTTCCTCCATAGGTGAAAGCATAACATGATAGATAGGGAGAGGATTTGCATGGGTTGAGTGGAATTTGTGATTTTTGTGTGTGTCCAAATGCACAACTATGAATTTGCACAGATCCATACAAATACATGTGTGCAAAATCCGATGCTGTTAATGAGCAGATGGCAGAATGAAAGGCATCCAACTGTCCTCAAAACATAGATGGAACAGATTGTGCAATGTCTGTAGCCCCCTAACTGAATGAGAGATGCATTTCTGTACATGTCATTGCTGAAGGTTGTGAGATTTGTCAGAAGCTGGGCATAAGAGAAGGGGCCAGCTAATAGCTTGTAAAATGCTAGAGAATGGAGACAGGGGACACTGTTTTGTGATGAGCTGTAGATTATTTGATTGCTCAGGGAAGTTCACTTTAATCTTAAATTAATAATTCATATTATCTAATAATTAATTACACCAGATAGCTTTAAGCTGAAATGCATAATGCATTTTGTCAGTGATGAGTTGAAGTTTGAGGGTTGCTGTTGTTATTAAACCCTGAATTTTCCTCCTTATCCAACCTTACTGAGCTTGCACAGCTCACCAAGAAGTGAACATCTGTCCGTACGTAGCTACTCAGTGTCTGTGCTAAGGAGAATAAAGCAGATGTTCAGGTCATCCTGCCCCAGAAACATGCGAATACATTTCTTGCTACTGGTAGCATAACCTTCCCTTTTAAACTTTTATTCGCATCAGTAGCAAATGATAGGGAAAGAAAATGTTTATTTAGCTTTCCTTGAGAAACACTTTCATGGGTGGTGTTGTGACTTAGTGTTTGAATGGCACATTAGTACGTAACATAATCCTTAACTGATTTGGATATTTGCAACCTTTTTATTGGTGATTTAACAGTAGAGCTCACAATAGCTAGCTGACTAGCTATGAGGCTCCAGGGATCTCAAACTGGGACTCTGGAGGGTCAAGCTCTGATGCCTCTCTTACAGCACATTTGAGGCAGTATGTCTGCTAAAAAAAGTTGCACCCTGAATTTTATTACCTGCAGAATTTTGTTAGCCATAGGTGCTCTGTAGGCAACATTACAAGCCACAACAACTGCCTCAGGTGGCCAAGAGAGCCAACACAGCTCTATCTGTCCCTAAAATGACTCACATTCAGGGCCTGGTCTGCGATTTCAGTGTGAAAGAATTTTGCAATTGACTTAAGCATGAGACTTATAGCAGCCTAACACAGCAGTGTTTAGAGACACAAACACATAATTAGGCATTGATTTATGCATATGAAAGTTCCTGATAGTACAGCCTGACCCATTCTTTTACTGAGATGTAAGGAAAGGCAATATAAATAAGGTACTTCTTTCAGCTTCCATGATTTGAGCTGTCTGTAAACGTATACATTGCTTCTTGAGCCAATATGTTACTATTGCATGGGTGTCCAAGTGTCTACATGGATAGATTCATTCTGCTATATTATGACAGCTTCAGCTGCAGCACTTCTGCTCTGACATGTCTCCTTCCTAAGACCAGGCTTTAGGTTTAATGAAACTCCACCTAATGCGGCCTTGTTCCAAGGCTAGGGGTGTGCTTTTTAAGGCAGGTTCCATACACACTATTCTCACAGAATAAAATCCTAGGAAGAGGATGCCATATCTATAGTGGCCATCTTAATCTGAAATTCACCTTTACATACGAAATTCAATAATCAGTGAGGATTTTGTCTCTGGACACATGAAACAAGCTTTGTGCCACATTTTATCCGAGAGAGAAACATGAAAGATGCTCCACCATACTTAGTTATGCCACAGAAATGCCAGCATGCTCAGTATCACAAGGTGATGTTTTTCCAGCCAGAAAGAAAAGCCCTGCTCTAGGAAGTCCCAGTGCTGCACCAGTTATTTGCAAAATCAAAACTGCCTTCAGCAGAAGAGTGTGTGTGATCACAATCAAGGGTCTAAGTTAGCCAAGTTCATTTTAGCTTTGCACTGCTGCTAAGCCCTATGAACCTTCAGTAGCATTCTTTTAAGATGTGGGTTACTGGGTGAACAGTGATTGCTGAGCAAACACCAAAGCTAGAAAATCCAAAAGAAGGGTTCCAAGGCAGCATTGAAACAAATCCGACGTGTCATGACGCCAGTGGATCACAGCTTGGCTGAAGTTTCATTGCTCAGCATTTTACCAGATATGGCCAGGGAGGCTGGTGATTCCTCTTTCAGTGGGATTTCTAATCCACTGCAGCTTTGTTTGACTTTTATCTGTGGTGAGAAACTCAATCCCCAAGTCAGGACCACCACCAAGGAAAACTTACTTTAAACTCAAAACAAAAGCTGTAATGGACCAGGAGCCCCACTAACCTCACATGGACATAGACATTCATCACGATTCACAAGTGTTGGACAACTTTTGCTGCAGAGATGCTCTTGGAGGCTGTATTCTAGTGGTACAAAAGGATTGTGGGCAAAATGCGGTACACTTCAGCATAAAGTTCTTATTACAAGTCTGAGGAGAGGTAATTCAATCTTTTGGGGGGGGGCAAAAAAGCTGGGAGACAGTCAAACAATAGTTAGTAGGAAAAGGCTTGGGCAGGTGAAGAGGGTGGCTATCTGGGGAACCCAGGCTGGATTTTAACTCTGGAGAGGAGAGGAAGGCAGGGGAGTCTGAACTGGCCGTAAGACTCTGGTCCTTAGCAGTGGAGGTTGTAGTGCCAGTGTCAGTGGAGTGCTGCAGTTTTTGCTACTGGGCAGTGTCGAAATCAAGCAATCTGCTCTGGGCTTTAGTCTGAACCTTCCTGGTGTTGAACACTCCCCGCAGTCCAGATCGCTTCAGCACCACGAACAGTTCCTTGAGTTCAGATTGCGGCCACTGTGGATAGAGTGCCCACCTGCTGGCACCCATCCTCTGGGCTGCTGGTCCACAATAGTCCCCAGAGGGTTAAGTGGTGAGAGAGCTGCAGCTGTGATTCTGGAGCCTTCCAGTTGCATGCACAGCCTGATGGGTAAGGGCAGAGTTGCACTAATCTCTGCTTAGTTTCTGTTTCAGTGCCGCCGGTCCCGCTGCTGCAGCTGGAGAAGTGCTGTACCCGAAACAACAGTGTGACCCTGGCCTGGAGGATGCCTCCTTTCAGCCACAACCCAGTGGAGGGGTACATCTTGGAACTTGATGATGGAGATGGCGGCCAATTCCGAGTGAGACCGATTCTCCCTGTTGATTTGTGGCTGGCATTCTTGGGCAATCGCTTGTAAAGCCTGTCCTACTAAGAGTCTACTCAGTATTGAACTGAAAATGTTTTGAATTCACGCTTTCCACCATCACAGAAGAATCCCCAACCCAAGGGCAGGAATTGTCTTTTGGCTGGAATGAGTGCAGGAATAGGCGGAGGGCTGGATTACATGGGGCTCTCTGTTTCCATTTCACAAACAAAATACACGGAGTGTGCCAGGATTCTCATCCTTAATGAATCATTCCCTGCTCTTCTTAATGATCCTTCTAATAAATGATACTCTTAATAAGTGGTACATAATTAATGATAACATGTGGGGTGGGGGGCAATATTCAGCTGCTTCTGAAATAAGTGGAAAGGCGCTCTGCTTACCTGTCCTGTTCCAAATGTGGCACTTTTGGCTAATTTTTGGTTGTGCCAGCTTTGCATTACACTAGTCATCTTTCCAGCTAGCATATTGTGTTTGTTGCTGATGAATTACCAACCGTGGATATGGTCCAATAAATATGATAACTAAGTAAACAGCAACATTAAAACATATAATAATGAATCCATTTATCATTTGTGATAATTATCCATCTAATAAAGGGTACTCATGCTTAAATGAGCAGAAGTAGCTAAGCAGAGTCTTGTCAGGAGTGAGCATCTCAATGAATACGTGCATTTTGTTGGTGAAATGTACTGCAGAGGAGACATGAGGCTGGAATAAATTACTCAGAATACATTCTTTGGAAGTAATTGTGGGCTCCTCTTATAAATATGTGCTGGGGCAATAGATATGCCAAAACATAACTACTGCTTAAACAGATCTACCTGCAACTTTACAGAGCAAAGGAGCTCTTTTGTGCTGTCCTACATAGGAGTACTTTGGAGGTGCTGTTGATTTTAGCGATGTAACATGAAAGCGGCCATTCTAGGGATGGAAGCAGAGAATGAAGGCATCTCTTTTTAACACTTTGTTGAGAATCACAGATGCCTTTTCAGTATTACTTTGACTTTGTGCTGCTGACTCTTACAGTAACCATTTTCCTGCAAAAGAAATTGCATGTGACTTATGTTTGAAACTATGATGAGACCTCTGATTAAAAATAGTGTTTGAACTCTATTGTTTAGGAAGTGTATGTTGGCAAGGAGACCCTGTGCACTATCGATGGTCTTCATTTTAACAGTACCTACAATGCAAGAGTCAAAGCCTTTAATTCTTCAGGAGTGGGGCCATATAGCAAGACTGTTGTTTTACAGACCTCTGATGGTGAGTGACTCCAGAAATGTGTGAAGCTCCTTCTGGAGCAGGGTGCTGAACTCTGCTTATTCCTGGGTCTGGCTCTCCTCCTGAACCAATCTGGTGAGCTGGATGATGGCAGGGGGTGGAGCTCTGCCTCTGAAACCCACCCCCTTCCTGGCATCATCATCCAGCTTGCTTTTTTCCATGCATCTCTCTTCACAAAGAAAAAGACTTGGTCAGGGCTTGGTGGCATTTACACTCCAGGTTTCAGATGAGTCCCCAGCTTCATATGGCAATCAGCACACTATTTGGGATGGCGAACACCATACAAAGCTGCATCTCCACTGTCATGTCTGATCAAAGGTGCTTCATCTGTGTTTTATTTATTTAATATTTTTATATGCCATCCAATACTAAAAGTCTCTGGACGGCTTACAAAAACAAGAAACAAAAAACAAAACAACCAAACACAACAAACAACACACAACACACTGCATCCAATAAATAATGATAAAATAAAAGATAAAACCAATTAAGTGTTAAAATATTGAGAATATAAAAAGGGAAAAAAGGTATTCACCTGACACCGAAAAGAATGAAGCAACAGCGCCAGGTGAACCTAGAGATTTAATTATACCTGGTATCTGCTTGAACGTTCCAGATTCAGTTGGGTTTTCGAATGACATTTTAAGCTACAAAATTCAAGGTGGTTCTACCTTAGAAAGAGCAAAGAGTGGGCAGAAGACAGTTTAGAAGGTATGCTCTATTTTGATGGTCTTCCCAGCCCGAATCAGATTTTAGTCAAAGAATGATAAAAATGGAGAGCAGGGCTCCTGAAATACTCCATCAAGCATTAGCACATGGACATTAGACCAAGAAGGCACCCAAGTCTCCTGCTCAGTCTGCCTCGCTATAGTGAGATGTAGCTGATGTATATTTAAAATGATAGTATTATTTCAGAATTTATACTGATAATGGTATATAAGCATGTGCACATTATATGAAAACGGTGTTCTCTTTGGCCTTCATTTTTGGTGATCCGTGTCCCTCCCCTGCTTTGGCAAGGCTGTGCTTTGTATGCACAGTATTCTGCAGTATTGTATACTTTGATGGCATATTGTGAGAGGCAGAGGAAGTGTGTGTGCAGTGAAATCTAGTGAACACTGGGGCCATCCCCAGCCTCCAAAAGCATCGCAGCAAGATACATGGGTGCCTCTGGCACTTTGCCTGGGATCTTGACGGCAAGGACCAGCATAGCCTGAGAAAGTCTCTGAAAGGCCAAACCCTTTTTATTTTCCCATTATTTTAAATGTTAATCGAGTTTTAAGATTGGATTTTACTCAGCGTAAGTTTTGATGCTGTATCTTATTTATTTTATTGTATCACCTCTCTGAAACACTGTGAAGGGCGGGATATAAAAGCTTTAAATAGTAATAGTAAAATAGTAATTTGCCAGATTTGCTAATGGATTCTGGTAGGTTTAATGTCAGTGTTTTATGGGGAGAGGTATGGCCTGCAAAATTTCAAATCTGTCACCAATTTCTGGGTTAAACTACATTTCTGTGGAACTTTCTTTAAACAAATCAACCACCGTTCATCTCAAAGAACAGGTCTGCACATCACGCTAAGCCACCCCTGAAACAAGCTACACAGTGTGGGCGATTCATGGCCCAGCCTGCGGTAGGCCTGACAGACAATCAGGCCTGCTGTGAGTTGTACTTGGCCTCCTCCTCCCTCCATCCTCTGGCTGGCTCCAGCACACATCCCAGGGACTCTGCAACAGCAGCCTTCTTGTCTTCTCACCCCAGCCCTCTACCTACTCCAGTGGTTTCCCTTTTTCATTTCCATGCATTTTTTAAAAAATCAGAGCCTCACAGATGCACAATCAGGATTGCAATTTTATGGAAGGATTATCATTTTACAGAATGTGCTCTTCTGGCTCTCGGAGGCTGTAGCCTTGCCTCGTTAATTTCCTCAAATGTTTCAGCTGTCAAAGGGAGCAGTGAAGCGGAGCAGGCAACATATAAGGCAATGGACAAGGCAAGGCTGCCTACCGGCTAACCTGCATATACTCGGGAAGGGCTGGGGGAGGAATAATAGGAAAGGAGAGAAGGGACCCAGCGATGCAAGTCAGAAGTACTGGCAATGCAGGGTGGGTGGCTGGGTGGGTGGGGGACAGGAAGCACTCCAAAAGGCACATGGAGCAACATCAGCATGTAGGCAATGTGGATAAGGGCTGAACTGACACTTAGCGCTATAATCCATTTGTCAAACCCTCCCCTGACTCCAGTTGTTCCAGAAGCAGAGGAAGCTGTCCCACCCCTTTTTGCAACATGGTTTTGGAGCAGTTACTCATGCAGATGCTCTAATTCCGTGACAGTTTTTTTTTTTTTTTTAATCCTGAGAAGGTGGCTGCATTGGGTGAAGTGAATGAAGTCCAGTTGGGGTAGGTGGAAGCAAAAATACTACTGCTATTGATGCCTCATTTTCTTCATCTTGTTTGGCCACCCTCTGGGGGGGGGGGAGGGAGGGGGCTGTGTGTGTGTTAATTGAAGAGAACATTTGCATGTTTTTTGGACTGGGAACTAGATCAATGGGAAATGTGCACAAATCTAAAGTCTGGAAAATAAATTGGGGCAGAATTTGCACAATTGTTATGGGAAATGCATATGCTGGGAAATTTTGCAACTATGCCGGGAAAGGCATAGTTGCACATTTGAACGTATTAAAGAGCGAGAAGAAAATGGAGAGCACTCCTGCATATGTTGCATTGCTCAGTTATTCTAGGCACACACTTTCTCCTCCATTTACTTCCTAGCCCTTTAATGTGTGCACGTCTCCCTGCCATTTACTTCTCAGCCTTTAATTTGCATATATTTCCCACTGTCCCCAAAATGTGCACATTTCCTTACAGTGCTTTTAAATGCTTCGAGGTGGCAGAATGGGGTGCAGTGAATTGGGCGCTAGCACCAGTGGTACTTTTGCCTTCCCCACGGGGCACCATTTGCTTGGTCCCATTTAGCTGCCTCCTAAGAGTTTCATTTTTTTTTTAATTTAGAACTGTCAGGTCAACACAGTTACTAAGCAGAAAGTGCTTGAAAAGGAGTGGCCAAAGGTTGCAGGGGAGAAGATACTTCCTTTTTTGGGAATTGGGAAAGGGTCAACAAGGTGGAGGATACTAAAAACTGTCGGTTTAACACTTAATAGCCAGAGAATGACATTGCCAAATGGGAAATAGCACCTCTACCTTTTGCTGCATGTACTTCTTCCATTTTTGATGCTTTTCCTTGGTGCAAATGGATTCCCCTTTCCCTTAGTAATTTCCCCCCTGGTTTTGGTCTGCTGTGTACAGCTGAACCTACATACAAGGAAGTTGCGTAGGTAAGGCAACTCATGTTTGACTATCGCAAGTGCATTCTTGGACTGATACCCTGAAATCTGATGTGGGTGATATTTATTTCAGCTGTCACTTTAAATCTGGCAGGATTATTTTTTAGTAGAATCTGGTGTGACTGTCTGAAAGCAAAGGGAAATGAAACGTCCTCTAAGATTTCATGCATTTTTAAAGCACATCTGAACTCAGCAGCATGAGTGGATCACAGAGGGAGAGGCCCGTTGCTTTTGCAGACTCTCCCCCCACCCCTCACACACACATTTTATAGCAGTGATGAATTCCAGAAGTTAATTGCATTTTTTACCTCTATGGAAATAATTTCCTAACAATGCCTTCTAAAATATGGGTGTTAATTCATGCTTCCATTCCATGTAATTACACTTGCTATCCATATGAGCAACCACAGAAATTAATCTTGATTAATGATACTTAACTTTCATGAATCATAAAGCACATGTTCAACTCATTATCTCTTTATTATTAATGCTGCTGGAGTATGTCAAGAAAAAAATATTTGTTTCCAAAGATCCTTTTTTAAAATGCCTGGTTGAGAATAGTTTTCATTTGTAATGAACCTTCCCATTTATGAAACAAACTACTTTATAACAATATGCATGTTTGAATTGAGGAATATTTTACAACTTAATTATTGCTATTCATAATTTAGGAATGTGCAAGATGAAAACCTGTCTCCAAGTATGGAACTGTTTGTTATTCAGGTGGCACAGCTTGGATGTTCTGCATCATACTACACATGTGACTGCTAAGCCATGATGAAATCTTCCAGCAGATATGTGCCTCCTGCCAGACTGTTCATCCATATATCATTCTTCCTGCTGATATTTAGTGCTATGAACGGAAGGCACTAAACTGTGACTATCAACTCCTTAACAGAGAACAGCAGTAAATGAGTTTAGACAACATGGTAATCCACACACAGAAGCTGAGTGTGGGTTGCCATTAAACTGAGGATTATTCTTGAAATAAGTGCTTGTTGTGTTGTCTGAAGCTAGCTGAGATAACTAACCATGGTAAACTAGCTACAGTTCACAACTCAACAACAAACCATGGGTTCCTTTCAAAGGTTGTTTATGGTTAACAAGCCATGGTTTGTTAGCACAGTTCAACAACACTCCACACTTAGCTTATACTGCAGGGGGAGAGCAGTTTTCATTGAAAAGAACAAGCAGCCCCTGCCAGCCTGAGAATAATATAAGATGCCTCACATTATGTGCTAAACTTTTCATCCCATACAAGGAACATTTTACCATATAATGTTTTGCCACACCTTGGCAGTGAGAATGTGGGCAATTTTCTCCTTACACTTGCAAAAGATAATGAAGGACATTTACTCTGGGATAGTTTGGTTGTCTGAAATGTTTCCTAGATTCTGTAGAACATGCTTAGCTCTCTGTTACTGAGATCAATGGATGTTAAGTGTGATGTATTTATCTGGCCGATTTATAGCTCACCTTTCTTCATGGAACTCAGGGCAGCCTTCTTTGCCTATAGCTCAGCATTGATTTTTCTGGGTGAAACGTAACGAACCAGGTCCTGCTGTTGTACCCTTCTAACCTGTAGCATCTTTCTTCCTCTACAGTGGCCTGGTTTACATTTGATCCCTGTTCAGCTCACAGGGAC